GTTTGTTTATCAATCTAACAATAAACTCTCCAAAATATGCCTTATTAATAACAGTATGTATCTCACTGGAGTCCAATTGTTGATGATTATGAATTCAGAAAGCTAAACATCCACTGTGTTTCGAAGATGGGACCTAGTAGTGGGGACCACTGGCCGGCATAGAACTTCCAAAAAATGCAAACATTTATTTGCACCATTTCTTCATTATAAATAGGCATGCCCCTAGTAGTAGTGTAATGGTATAGAGCTATTGAAATAAATAAAGCTCAATCTTCTCTATCAAAGTTACAAAAGGCTAAAAAAAAAAAAAAGGGAGTTAAGTTGTTTATATAATGGCTCCTGCACCAATCACACACATGAATGTAGGGCACATAGATGATGTGCAAGAGCTAAGGAAAATTCAAAGCAACACAGTTCCTGATAGATTTATGAGGGACGTAGATGAGATCAATTCAGTCATTCCTGATTCGCCTATTAGTAATGACGTTTCTATTATTGATCTTTTAAAAATTACTAAAGGAAGCTACAATGAAATTATTAATTTAGCATCTGCTTGCAAGGAATGGGGTTTCTTTCAGGTATCATTATTGCTTTAATTTCTACTTTCATAGTTTCATATCACATATCCTAGCAATATAAAATCACTACTCGTAGCATGCTAAAATTGTACGTACACATTAAGTGTCAGTTTCAACTCGACTATTTTGGAAAAGTTTTATATGTTGCCCCACATTTTATTTATGCTTAATTAACTCATCTCTTTAACTCAAGTTGTATGGGTTGTCAGAGGCGGATGCACATATAAGTAAGTGGGATCCATTGACCCCAAGTGAACATGAAAAAAGGAAAAAAAAATCGACAATTAAGTTCCTATAAAATATTTTAAATAAAAATACATAAAATTTACTCACTTCACCGCATTAAAATTTATCAAATATATTTTGACCTCGTTAAATATTTTTTCCAAATCAGCCACTATGTGTTGTACTAATATGGTCGGATCACTTTATTACTTTAATATGCTTACAGCTCACTTCGCTCATCTAAGTTAATCGATTGCGTGAAGCCTTTCAAACAAAAATTTTTGGGATCTTTTTCCAACTTATAAGTTTCTAAAGCATGTAGTCAACTAGTCGGAAAAAAAAAAAAAAAAAAAAAAAAGGACTTGGTGCTTGAAACAATAATTGAGAAAATTAGTAGACCTATCTTTGTACATTTCAGTAACTTTGGTCCCCTGCAAAATAATAATTTATTTATTAAAACCTTTCACAAGTATGCTTAACTTTAAAAATAAAAACATAAAAATAAAGATTAAATTAAATTCTAAATCTATTACCATGTTTGATTTTTAATGTTACGTACATGCTTAGGTCATAAACCATGGAGTTGACACAAAAATTCTAGAGAAGATGGAAAAATTGTCCATGGACTTTTTCATGCAACCATTAGAGGAAAAACAAAAGTACAAAATGGCACCAGGAACTATTCAAGGATATGGTCAAGCTTTTGTTTTCTCTGAGCAACAAAAGCTTGATTGGTGTAACATGTTTGCTCTTGGTATCCATCCACACTTTATAAGGAACCCAAGTCTTTGGCCAACAAAGCCACTAAATTTCAGGTAAACAGCTAATGTCTTGTTTTATTTGTCCGAAATTAATAGTTATATATACTATTGCTTTAATATGTTTGAAAAAAGGTTATCACATTTTCTAATTGTTTTTTCATGCAGCGAAAGCATTGAGACTTACACGAGGGAGATAAGGATTTTATGCGAGAAGCTATTGAGGTGTATCGCGGTGAGCCTTGGATTGAGAGCCGAGAGGTTTGAGGAAATGTTTGGGGAAGCTGTTCAAGCCATAAGAATGAATTACTACCCACCATGTCCAAGACCAGACCTTGTGTTAGGGTTAAGCCCTCATTCTGATGGAAGTGCACTTACTATTTTACAACAAAAGCAAGGAAGTTCTGTTGGCCTTCAATTGCTCAAAGACAATAAGTGGGTGTCCATCCATCCAATCCCTGGTGCTCTTGTTGTCAATATTGGAGATACTCTTGAAGTAAATTACTCTCTTTCTTTCTTTCTTTCTTTCTTTCTTTCTTTTTTCTTTCTATATAAGTACGTGATAACAAGTCATCTATTTTGCTTGCGATCTAATTGAGATTTTCATGGACTAGTCAAGTAAGTTGTATTCAAATAAGTTAGGCTTGAGAAGTCGTGAAAATGCTCGAGTTATTTCTAATTATATTAGAGGTAAAGATTTTTCTAGGGCAAATCAAAGGAGCCATAAGTTCTTGAGGAAATTCTAATTTATTCCCACGATAAATCGGGGGATTTTTTCGTAACTTTGCTGCAGTTACTAAAGGTATTCACGTAAATGTCCCATTACTAAAGTTGACAACCGTTTACTTCTATTAACCATAGATAACCCAAGGTAAACCAAAGGGGTGGTTAAATAGGAGAGAGAAGGCCAGTTAAAGAGGAGAGAGAGAAACCCCTAGAAAACACGAAACTTCACCAACCCAGTGATACTTCACCAATCAAGTAAAAACCACAACGGCGGCGATTTGGCGACAATGATGGCTACTAGTTTACCATAACGACGCAGCCGACCGAGATTTAGGGCGGTGGCGACTGACTCAGGCGGCGGCGATTTGGGGCAGTTGCGACTGGTGACTTCAACGACACAGGTGGCGGCTACTGAGACAGCGATTGGGTTTACTTTGGTAGTGGTAATTCGGTTTTTTTGCTCATTTTCATCACCTCTCTCTGATTCTTGGAGTAAACATTTAAAAAAAAAATGATAAAAGAAGGTGGTCATGTGTAGCCTTGCAACTAACTATGGTTAAAATAGACCAACGTCCGTCAAAATAAGCTTAACATACATTAAAAATCACATTCCACAATTTTTTTTCACACCTTTGTTTACTTTACCCACGTGTAAGCAATTTAGCAATTTTCAAGTGATCTGTCTCATTTCCTTATGCAATTATTTACGAAATTGCAATCAGATAAACAAAAGTTGTTAAATGGGGGCCTCCTCTAAGTTCTTGGTTCCAAGAACAATTGCCTTGGAACAAATCTTCACCCTGATATTATTAATAATGAAAGACCTCATAACATTAAGAAAAACTCAGTTATGAGGTCATATTTTTAAATTAGATACTTGCTTATAATCTTCTAATCAAGATAGAGTAATAGCTAATATAAATTGAACTTGAAATTACAAGGTCTAAAAAACTCGAGATTCATCTACTAGTCGAATGTTGAGTTTGGTTTGACATGTTATCAGTCTTAGCACCTAAATAATTTCTTAAGAACTTGCATTTATAACATGTAAAATGCTCTAATTGGGTTTGAGAAGTGTAAAATTTTTATACTACCTCCGTTGTTTTAGTTGACATGTTTTGACTTTAGCACTATTCACTCACTTTCCTTTGACCGTGTTTTGTGCTTTATACCTAATGAAAAATATAGTCATTCGGAATCTTGTTAGATTCGTTACAATATATATTTTCAAAATATCAACTTTTCATAATTTTTGTTTATCAGTAATTAGAGATATTAATGGTTGAAGTTGTGCATTGACAAACGTGATTAAAGAAACGTGTCAACTAAAAAGAAATGGAGGAAGTAGTTTAGTTCATTTAGCATAATAAATGTATTATTATAAGTTCAAAGGAGACAAAAGGAAAGAAAAAGAACAAGAGAAGTAAATGCAATGATGAATTCAATTGCACTTAAAGTCAAAGCTCGATGTATATGCAAACCTTCCTAAGGGGGGACAACTTAAACCTTTAATCTTCATTAATCACTAGACCATAAGTTTAAGTTTGTTCTCTCAAAAGTATAATAATAAAGTTTAGTTTTTTAGCACTTTTCTTTCCACTTTTGTGCTAATGGGGCTGAGTTGTCGACTAATGGTGGCATCAAGTTTAATTCTTTTGTCCTTTTCTTGTACTGCTTTTCCAGCATAAACCAAGTTGTTTGCTATATTTGACAGCTTAACTCCTTTAGTCATTTGCACTGTTGGAGAACAGAGCTTATCACTTATAATTGCCGTTTTATTTCATTTAACTTATATGTTTAAGCATATTGTATACAATTACGAGCTTTTTGAGTCGAGCTTAATTAACTCTCTGCTTGACTCAACTTGTTCAAGTCTCGAGTTAACAAGTTGAGCAAGCCAGAATCATAAATTATTACCTCGGTCAAATGCTTAGAACTTTAACTACGGGTTTTTAATTTGTTTTTTAAATTTACTTACGAAAATTTTGGTTTTTATGAAGGTGTTAACTAATGGGAAATATAAAAGTGTGGAGCATAGGGCAGTGACTAACATGGTAAAAGACAGGCTCTCAATTGTGACATTTTATGCGCCAAGTTATGAAGTAGAACTTGGGCCGATGTCCGAATTTGTGGACGAAAGCAACCCAGTCCAGTACAGAAAATATCTTCATGGAGAGTATAGTAAGCACTATGTCACTAACAAGCTACAAGGGAAGAGAACCCTAGAATTTGCCAAACTTGGCACTCACATTCCAGTGTAAATTATAATGACCATCGTAACTATGTATCATTCGTTACAAATTTTTAGTTGTTTTCGAGTAATCACCCTAATCAGGTACATCTACAAATAGATGTAGCTAAGGTTGTTTTATAACTCATTTGCTCACTTGAATTAGCAAATATAGTCATGTACACCTAGACCCAGGTACAAGATCTAGGTTTCCGTCTTTTTTGTATAAAGCGAGAAAATTTGACAATGTTGGTAGATTTGTATTTAAGGTAGACAAGAAGAATGACCAATTATTAGCTATTGTACAAGATTAAACAAATCTAAGTTCGGAATGCTATCATATGATTCATATCTTGTAGAATAGATTTTGTACAAGATCCTTTGAGATGATGTATCATAGTGCAATTATAACCGAGTATCCTTGTATCAATGTACTTTGTAACGCCCCCTGAACAGGCCAAGGGTTGTGCATGAACAATTATGTAGATGTTGTGTAAGACTGCATCTAAAATCAATGTGAAACTACAAGTTTAGTGACAACCGACAGATGTCGCACAACCAGTCGCTAAATATTTCAGTATATAATAACCAAAAGCCTACCTTCAGAAGGAAATTTACAGCACCAAATATACAAGTCTCACCGTGAGACACAAGTTTTCACATTCAACATCTACCAAAGAAAAGCACTACATTTCTAACTGTACTACTAAAGTACACGCCTACATGGGGATGATGCACTAACATTGCTCGGCAACATGAGCAAAGCTTCTTACCCCTAGTTCAGCTTAGTCCGCCTACAATCAAGACCCACTCAGATACAATGCCCTTATGGAAAGGTGGGGTACTGGAAACAGTAGGATTTGAACCATGATGGTGGCTCTGCCCCAGAAACGATCTTTACCATCAGGCCACAAACTGGAAATTGCAACCAAATTCAAGTGCGTTGTTTACTCACCTAAAGCTCTTGAAAACGGTAAAAAGCTAGTTGAGGCATGGTGGATTTAAAAGAAGGGCACCTATATCTCAATTCATAGCTAGTCTATCGCACAAAGATTGATATGCTGAAGTACAAAGCTTGAACTTCTCCTCTGCAGCAGCCTGTCATTCATATGCATGGAAAAATTATTAGACAAGTCAGTTTATCTCACTGTTTTTTCTACATAAATTAGATTGAAGAGATTAGGACAGATTTTAGTTACTTTGGAGGTTCCTAGGTGACGGTCAGGGTGCCATTTTAAGGCACAGGATCGGTACCTGGAACATAAATGTTAGATACAACAACAAAATGGAATCCTCAGTACACATTAAATAATGAAATAAAAGAAGCAAGTCCAATAAACTCACGCATTTTTCACATCATCAAGTTTTAGGGGACCAGAAGCACTCAGCCCAAGAGCTATCCTCTCTGAAGCTAGATCTGATGACTTCGTGTCATCTTCTGACATGTACTCGTATTCATCATCGTCTTCAATCCACTGTCTCCTTTTCCAAGAGGTCTTACCACTATTAGAATATCGTGATGAGTTCCTCCTATCAGAGTAATCATCATTCACAAATGACCAGAAGAAAAATCGATCGCTAAATGCGGATTGGAATATGGTCTCAAGTCTCTGAACATCATCATCATCTTCACAAAAACTGAATCCTCCTGGACAAAAATCAAGCAATCATACAGGTGGTTATTTTTCAGATCTGAAGCAAGAAAGGAAGGCTTATTTAAGTAAATATATATGCTTAATTCAGAAATGATCAGACACACTAGACCATATTTTTTATTTGCGTTTGCTTCTCACTAAATATCTTTGGTTTCGTAATACAAAAAAAAATTATGATAGCTTTATATTTAGTAAACAGTAATACAAATTTAGCGACATCACATTTGATAATTTCTTTTCTTGAATTAGTGTACACAAAAGGTCAAGGTTTAGTCAAATTATTAAGAAAAAATATCAGTGAAATTCAAATTAGATCATATCACATGATATCAAATAAAATGAAAATAGCCTTAGTGAACTTAGTTTAGCACTTTCAAGCCTCTTAAGACACTGGCTCGTTAAAGAGACACTTAAACAAGCTGCACATATTAAACCTCATAGTTGGTTTTATATTTGCAAGGATTATGCTTTGAAGATGTGTTGTGGATTCCTCAATAAATCAGCAATTGGCTTGATATTTGAAAGAGGGTGAGCAGATGCCTCGATAGCTTAACATTTAACAAGACCAATATATTTAATATCTCTGTGTCTCTTCACTAACATTGATTTATAACTTCTTTGCCTCGGAATTCAACATGCAAATCATGTCTATGCCATCTCTAAATATACATTACATAAGCATCTCAGTTCTGTGCAATGCATCCACCACCAATCACCCTAACCTACAGCAGGAGACCACGACAGCAGAGCAAGCAGGGCAACAGCAGCATTTTCCCACTACATGGCCAAGCAACGGCTCCTTAAAAGCTGCAGGGGTTTCTTTGGCTTATTAGCCTTTTACTGTGGTAATTCGGAAAGAAGACAAGAGTAGATGGAGCAATTAAGGCATTAGGCCAAGTGACTTAGCTGTAGTAGTAGTATAAATATTGTAAGCCTTGGGAGTAGAGAGGTATCCAAAAATTGTATTAAGAACTTGGAGAGTAATGGCCTAAAGCCATTGACGTTGTACGCAAGCTTTGAGCTTTATCTACCAATCAACCTTCAGACTACTTTTCTTATTCGTATCACGCTAGTCCGTTGCACTCTGATATTTTATTTACTCCAATTGACCCCAAACCCTGACGAATCAGTGATGAGTAAAAAGCATGGCAACAAGCCAAATACATGGCCAAACCCATGTGGTGTGATAGGACATGACCAACCTTCTTTGAGAAGGTTTCCCATATTGCCAGTTTCAAATAGGACAACCAAGCAACAAAAACCTTTCTTTTGCAGCAAAATAGGGAATTAATGCCTAATTGCTTAAGAAAAATGGTAAAGAAATGAGACAAACAAAAAGGATGATAATTGTGGAGGTTATGCTGGGAAAAGGCACATAAAAACATAGACAGGCCGACAGCTAACATATGCAAGCAAAGAATACAATTTATCCTTACTTCTTCCTCTCTTTTGACGTCCCTGGGTATGAGAAGAATTCCTTCCTGATCCATTATGAGGTTTTCTGAACCACGAAGGGCCCTTAGCTGACTGGTCATCTTGGTCAGAGTCGGAGTGCCAGCTCTGTAAACAATCAAATTGGCAATAGTGGTCAGAAAATAACCATATAACCAGTCCCAGTAGACAACAGAAATCAAGTAGTAGCAAAAGCGGTATACATATGTGTTCTCAATCCTTATGATCAAAACAAAGAAGCAAGAGAGACCACCCCTCCCCCCCCCCCCCCCCCAAAACCCCAAAAAAAAAAAAATTTAAAAAAATAAAAGAAAAACCAATGCCAATTACGCTGGTTAGATACAGAAACTCTACATAGCTAAATCAACGTTCCCCCCCCCCCCAACTTGCCCATCCGACTAAATTAAATAAAGAATGAAGCTTTAATTAACCATCCTTCCTCTGTTCAAAAATTAATGCAGTCTCCAATCCAGTACGATGACCATCAATATTTACAATTATGTCTCAGTAAAAATAATATTAATATTTTAAAACTACAAGTTGAGACAAATCTTACAAATACTCACATGATTACACTTATTGCTATATTGGTACGAAATCATAGTCTAAGTTTTTACATTTGACTTTAAAAGAGAAATGTTGCTTATTGGAAGCGGGGATCAGATCAATTGCTGTTTTCCAGATATTCATGTGTATTATCCAAACACATAAACTAATATAGACATGGGCAAACTTTTCTAAAAGCTGAACATGGATGCAAGGACACAACATGAAAACAAATTTGTGATTTAAAGACTGCTTATATATTAATAATTTTATAAAGATTGACCAACGTATTTAGGTTTTATTTTGGGGTAGTGATGATATGCACAAGAAAGTTCCTATTGTATGAAAGGAAGTCTTTGCGCTTAAAAAGTAGTTGATATGCAGAATCTGGAGCTGTGCATAACATAATATGGATACAATGGGACTTGATACGATACATCTAGTGAATAAAGATGGCTTTGTAGAAAACACCATAATTCAAATTCAGCAAATAAATGCATTGCAGACTAACTACTCCCAAGCTCTCCTTTGTATTAAGGTTGACATTACAGGGAAGATGAACTACCAAAGTTGCGCTTTTGAACCCAATATAATACCATGTATTATCTGTCATAAAGCTGAAGAAACTGCGCACTGTCTTACAGCTGATACATCTAATTCTGCTCTGCAACTTTGCTTCGGCTGAATTAGATCCCAGCTCATTCCAGAGACCAACCGGTGGTCTAGAATGGTTTGCAAGGACTTTTAATTTCTCGTAGAGAAAAATGCTCTCCATATAACCATATCTACTCCTACCCTCTATATATGGAAAGAAATATATCAGGTTTTTGACACATTTAGAACGATATTTACGATTGGAAATAGAAAATCATAAAAAGAATCCAGAATGTTATCGAACTGCTTGATGTGAATTGATTTCGAGGTTGTGACATTAGTGGAAGAAATCCTTCCATAAGTAATGTTACTTCTCTCTTCCTAACCCTCTCAATTTTTCATTTTAAGTTACTTTCACTAGGTTCTTGCTGATAAATAGCTCCTACTATTTCAATAACTGTGAGAACAATCTCCATGCCCGAAACCTACACATTCGAAACAAGGCACAATTCGCACAACAAAAATACCAATGTAATATGCAATATGAGCATCCGACAAAAACACCTTACTTTCACAATCCGGCAAGCAAATAAAATCATAATTCAATCTCATCTGAAATCTATTGATTTGCTAAATATAAAAATCATCCTCAAACTCTTACCTCAAATAGGTGATCAACATAGGCGTTCGCATTCCGCATTAAATTTTGCTTGAAATGGTTCCTTCTATAACCTGCTCTTCTGTTATAACTGTTATTATTATTCTTGTATCTCTGCATTTCAACAAAATAAAATCATCACATGTCATACTATTATAACATGAAGGGACACGAAAATATAAAGTTGCAAGATGTTTAACCAAAGTTTTAAGTACTCAACAATGTAACTCGGCGGATGTCAACTAGGTTAGTAAATATTACGACCCGAGATTAAATCTCATCAAAATAATTGCCCTTTTCTCTCTACACAGACAAAAAAGTTAGAAATGCCTCCCCCCTCCCCCCCCCCCCCCCCCAACTTCAATCTTCCCCATAAATCAAAATAGCCTAACCACAGATCCAATTCAAACCAAAATTTGAATATTTTGCTAATACCCATTATCACCCACAACAATACAACATACAATCTAATTTAATGCATTAAAATCCAATGATTTCTTAGGAATCATAAAAAAGAATCACCCAATTTTCGAAAACCAATACAATCTAAAAACTTAATTAATAAATGTAATTAAATTCAATGAAACCCAGTTAAAAGTTAAGGTTTTTTTATTAGGAAGAAAGCATAATTATTGAAAGAAAAAGAAAAGTTGAAAAGAAGACTTACAGCAGTCCAGGGATTGCGTCGACCTCGCCCAAGAGCTGCGGTAGAATGGAAAAATGCAGACTTTATATGAAAGAAACTGGATTGTGGGAATTTTAGGGCTGATTTTATTGAGGCATTCATTTTCCTTCCTTCAACCTTTTTTTTTGGGAGATTGAGAATGAATTTCAGACTTGAAGGATGATGATATTAGAGAAGAGAAAGGTGGGTAATTAGGAACGGAAAATGAACGAGTTAGCTCGGTTAAAACCACATTTGTTAAAATCCCAATCCATATCTTACGATTCTAGGATCCAAAATTGAATGATCGATCCGGATCTTTGGTAGGATCTTGAATTTTGTAGGATCTTGCGAACCTACTCTGATATTTATTACGGGTGATAGGATTTCAACACGATTATATGATTTTATTACAATCCTATGATCCGATCCAACATTTCATTACAATATGAGACTTTAATTTATTTTGACATATTTTTTTTATTACTCATTAGGTTATATGCATCTAAATTAAATGTATTCAATAATTATCGCTAATAAATTAGCGAATCCGAGACATTAATATGATTTTATCAATTGACAACTTGCAATTGTCATAGTTAAGGTCTCATTCTTGACAAATTTGCACATAATTTATCAATTTAAACTTGTGTTATTAATCTTCTAATTACCATACAGACAAAGCTAAATGAAGATCGACATTTTTTAAGAAAACCAATGTCTTTTAGCATTGAAATCCCTTAGAAGAAATATTTTGAAGTCAATTTAAAGCATAATATATAATATTATACGTTATTAAGTAGGATCTTACGATCCAATTATATTGATTCGATCCCACCCCCCCCCCATCGATCCAAGGTAGGATCCCGATCCTAATAACCTTGCTTAAAACAGATAAACATTTATTCAAAAAAAACAAAACAGATAAACATAGCTCGAGTCAATTCATGATTGTGAAACAAGACCCATTATACAAGAAATGTAGTTAGGGTTCATAACTAGGAATTGTTAATGGATGGATTTGGGTCGTTTGATGTATTTAACTCTGATTTGGTTGGTAGCCGGACTTTTGAATTTTTTATCAATCAAAGCTTATGATCCATCGTTACTTTAAATCATGGAGGGGGTAATAATAAGATTAAAAATACCTAAATAAATTGTTAAGTGATCAAACTAAAAGATTAAATTAAAGAAATCTTAAATAAGGTTATTATTTGTGACTTGAAAATATAGGAGACATGGTACGAGCAAGCTTTAAGTACACAAGTCTATCAATCTAGCATGAGATAATTCAAGTTGGAGGTGATACCTTGCTTCAATAGCTTTTCGACATTTGGCCATAATTCCCTTTATAATAAGAAGAATAAAAAGAGAAAGTTATGGTCTTTTTGAGGATAATTGTTCAAAGCTAAAAGCTTTTGCCATTAAAGTTTCCTCGAACTTTGCTTTGCTTCATTTTCTTTCCTATAATCGGATATGCTCATGACGGGTACTAATGTATTCCATAGAGAATAGTTTAGGGTTTATTTGTGTTATAAATTAAAAGAAGCTATTAGGTGGACAACAAGGTGCACATGTAAGAAGTCTTCAAGCCAAGATGTTACTCCACTTTTGATAGGGATACCAAACTTTGTACGTAGTCTGCAAGCGGGCTTCTTTTAGCATATCATCATGAATATTCATAGTCAGGATTTCCGTATCCTTAATTCGTTTTCTTTGTTACTATATTTGTGACTTCATCTGGTATATTCAGAGCACAACTAAAAGTGGGATCATCCAGAGACTTATCCAAGGCCATGTAGAGTGCTTTTCTTTAGCATTTTGTCTCCTCTAATCCCCCGCTGCCCCTTTGACTCATTGAGAGCAAGAATTAAGGCTGAGTCACCTGCTACAATTATAGGGTCTTGGGCAAGAGCCTCCCCTTCGAAAAAAGAGAGTAAGCAAATTTGGATTTTCGGCCATAATGGTCGAATGATCCTTTGCAAGGATTTTAAGAGGGGGGAGACAGAAGAGGAAACGATTGCCAGTTAGTTGTTTGACTAGAACTGGTGTCATAGAGGGAAGAAGGCTTTCAGAAATGTCCAGCTGGGATACTAAGAGTAAGGAAGCAAAGGCGGAATCGAACGTTATATCTCCTTCATTGTATCGATCAAATTGTTTATCCTCCATCGAACCTAATAAGCTATTAGGAAAATTAGCCAGCAAAAGTACCAAATTTATGGGTTACAATCTTACAAGTCTAATTTGCAAAATACAACCTAAAAGATACCAAACCTTAAAGACTACATCCAAGAACCGGATTCCAACCATTTTAACGAGCATGTGACGTCATTAATAAGCAAGTTATTGGAAACACGAGTAATTTTGTGGAGAAATGATTAACAAGAGTCATTTCATCATGACTTTTAAAAATATGAGTGGGAAGGTGGTATGGTTTTAAGGAGAGTGAAAATGTAATAGCAATTTTTTTTTTTTCTAATTAAGTAATGTATTTTTACAAGGAGAGGGAAAAAGTGGAGAAATTGATTTTTGGTTTTTAAAATTAAGCATATGTACATTTGGAAAGTAAAAAATGTTCCTATTTAAAATTTTAAAATAATGAATATGTAATAATTTAGAATGATATAATAATTGTAATTGAATTATTTTTATTCAATATTGACATATAATATTCCAAACAAAGTCCTTTGTAAATTAACTTTGAGTAAATAAGAAGACTAATTAATAATTAAATGAATAATTTCAATATTGCACATCATATTCACAAGATTAAACATTCAATGATATAAAATTGAACATTTACAAACAAATGAACACTTTATAGATGATTCGAAACTAAAAAATAATAAAATGACTTTATTACGAAGGAGAAGGGAGGAGGCAAATTTTGCAATTACAAGGACCGGAGACCATTTCAAGTCATTGCTTATTTTGGCACACCCCTACTTTGGCCTATGCTCTCTCATTCATACATTCTCTTTTCCTCAAAATATATTAAAACTTTTCTTCTCTCCTCTATAAACTTGTAAACAAAGCAAGTGGTTCCTAAAAGCACACTCTCTTATAATATCCTATCAGAGAAAGTATAACTTTAATTTGTCAACACTATAACGCTCACCATATTTCCCTTATTTTGCCATTTTGACCTTGGTCATTAAAGAGCTTTTTGGAGAGCTTTTCAGTAATTGAACCTATTAGAAGTTTGACCATTAAGAGAAAGCTAATTAGACTATTTGGTAAAAAGCAAAATATTGAAAGAGCTTTATGGACTAACAAAGCTCAAGAGCTTTTAAAATTAGTCTATTGAATTGAACAGTTAGCTTTTTGGTTATTTTATACACTAAACCACTAACAATAACCAATTTAGTACATACCAAACACTTTTACACAATTAGCTATGTATAACTAGATAGTCAAACCGGCTAATACAACCAACTAGTCATCAACCAGATAATATGACTAGTTACATCAATCAGCCACCAACTAACTACCATTCATTACTAAAAGAAGTCATCGTCATCGTCGTCATCGTCATTATCAGACTTTCGTGATGAGTATATCATATACCACCAGAAGAAATCATCATGGTCATCTTCATATCTTCCTGGACACAAATCAAGCAATCATACGGGTGACATTTTATTAGATATAAAGCATAAAGGGATGGCTATTACATACATGTTCAATTCAACTTATTTAAGTATATGCTTATTTCATGAATGACCAAACCAGTTTAGACTACAAATTTTTTACTTGAGTTTGCTTATTACTAAATATTATTGATTTCATAACTTAAAAAAATTATTTTTTTAAAAAAAAAATTATTTTTTTTTAAAAAAAAAAAAAAAAAAAGAAGAAGAAGAAGATAGTTTCATATTTGGAAAGTCACAGTAATACAATATTTAATGACATCTCATTTGGTATTTTTTATTGTATACATAAGGTCAAAATGTCAAATTAGGATATCAAATCATATCAAAGAAATTCAAATCGAATCATATCACATATTATCAAGTGAAGTGAACATAGCCTTAGACACAAAAACAAACTGCACATATTAAACCTCATACTCAGTTATATATTTGCTAGGATTATGCTTTGAAGATATATAAGTTGTGGATCCATCAATTCATCAGCAATTGGCCTCGTTTTTTAAAAAGGGTGACTGGGTGAGCAGATGCCTCAACAGCTTAACAGTTAACAAGACCTGTATACTTTATGTTTGTCGGTCTCCATTACCTACACATGCTTATATAACTTCTTTGCATCGGGATTTATCACGCAATTCATGTCCATGACTCCATGCCATCTCTAAACATACATTATATAAGCATCTCAATTCATATTTCTATTTACTCCAATTAAACACAAACCCTGACAGATTTGCAATGAGTAAAGCATGGCAACAGACCCAAAAAATAAGCCAAACCCATGGTCTAGTGTGATAGGTCACCTGAAGTCAGACCAACCCTCATCGAGGTTTCCCATATTGCCAGTTACAATTTTCAAATAAGACAACTAGGCAACTAAAATGTTCCATTTGCAGCAAAATAGGTATTAATGCCTAATTACTTAAGAAAAATTATAGAGAAACATGATAAACAAAAGGATGATATATGATTGCAGAACTTATGCTGGAAAAAGGCACATAAAAACATAGACAACAAACATTTGCAAGCAATATATACAATTTATCCTTACTTCTTTCCTTCTTTTGACGTCCCTTGGTAAAAGAAGTCCTTCCTGATCCATTATGAGGTTTCCTGTACCGCAAAGGACCCTTATTAGATGACTGGTCATCTTGGCCAAAAATAGATTGCCAACTCTGTAAACAACCACATTGGCAATAGTAGTCAGAAATTAACCATGTATTCAGTCCTAGCAGACAACAGAAATCAAGTTCATGGTAGCAAAAACATGTGTTCTCAATCCTTAAGATTAAAAATGTTACACAACTTCTCTTCAATCTTCCTATCTTATTATGTTTTTTCCTACGGGTATGTGGTTTGCGATAATTGAGGTGTTAAAGCGAAAACTTAAGTGTCAGGTAAGAATTCCATACCTATGTTGAGTTGAGTGTATGACACAGCCACACAGGTACTTAAAATTATACTAAAAGCTGAATCAAGAGATCATAAATCTTTATTAACATGAAGATTAACCAGCATATTAGGTTAATCTTTGGGGTAGTGATGACATGCACAAGAAAGTTCCTTCTATTGTATGAAAGACATTCTTGATGCCTAAAAAGTAGTTGGTCTGAGTGTAAATTTTGCAGAATTTGGAACTGTGCATAACATAGTTAACATACTATGGGTGTAGTGAGAGTTCAAATGATACATCTAGTGGATGATGATGGCTCTGTAGCAAACAACAAAATTAAAATTCAACAAACAAATGCAATGCAAACTAAATACTCCCAAGCCCTCCTCTGTATTAAGGTTACCAGTACGAGAAAGATCAACTACCAAAGCTGTACTTTTGCTTCACTATCATACTCCATACACTGTTCTCGGTCAAGCTCATGATCCGAGGGACGATCACTTCACTATGTTGTGCTTTCTTGCCTCTCACTTTTAAAGCTTTTGGTTATATAAGTGAGTAGCTTCAGTTTGATTTTCTAATAATCCCAAGGAGTTAGGAACTTAGGACTCAGATAATGCTCTAGTCTACTCATCTAGGCATTTGGTTTGATTGTTCTATTTTGATCTACAATTAGAATCTACACTCATTATATGTTTCGGTTAAACCACGAAATTATAATACAAAGTTAATGAGCTCAAATAATGTTTTCTTATGGTAATTAGTTGATGGTATTTCAAATTTCTTAAGTCACAAGTTTAGCTTAAACTTTTGGTGGATGATGTTTATATAGCTACAAACACGTGTTTCAAATTACTAGTCATTTCTACCGACACAATAACATGAGCATCCAACAGAAACACATTATTTTAACAACCCGACAAGCAAATAAAATCAAAATCAATCTCATCCTAAATGTTATTGGATTTGCTAAATATGAAAAGCATCATCAAACTCTTACCTTAGACAAGTAATCAACACAGGCTTTCACATTCTTCATTAAATTTTGCTTGAAATGGTTCCTTTGATGACCCGACCTTCTGTTTTTTGTAATTGTTGTCGTTTTTCTGCATTTCAACAAATAAAAGCACCACATGTCAATTGTCATAATAAAGACCCGGGTTCAAATCTCTTCTACATAATTTCCCAATCCCCTCTATACGGCCAAATTATTCTCAAATGCCTCCCCCCCCCGGTTACATTTAATTTGGCCCATATATCAAATTAGCTCAATCAAGCCCAATTCAAACAATAATTCAAATTCAACAAATAAATGCAAGCTGCGGTTTTGTGCTTCACTCTCATACTCCGTGTTCTTGGTTAAGCTCATGATGCAAGGATCGATGAATCCACTAAGTTGTGGATTTCTTGCCTCACTTTTTAAGATTTGATTATATAGGTAATTAAGTAGCTTCACATTGATATTCTAATGATCCCTTGATAATGCTGTAGTCTACTCGTCTAGGCAATTGATTTATTTGTTATATTTCATTCTACAATGACAAATCTACTAGGCATTGACTCATTATATGTTTCGTTAGACATTGAAATTATAATACAATCTGACAAGCAAATAAATCAAAATTCAATCTCATTCCACAAGTTATTGGTTTGCTAAATATTAAAAGTATCACCAAACTCTCACCTTAAACAGGTTACGAACACAAGCTTTCACTTTACTTGTTATATTTTGCTTAAAATAGCTCCTTCCATGACCCAACCATCTGTAATTGTTGTTGTTATTATTGGATTTCTGCATTGCAACAAACAAAACCATCACAAATCAATTTGTCATATTACAACAATCAACATTCATGTAACAACATAACATTAATTTGTGGAAGTCGACTAGCTTAATTGGTGGATACTATAACCCCGGATCAAATCTCGTCTACATAATTTCCCCATCCTCTCTAGACGGCCAAAAAAGTTCTTAAATGCCTCCCCTATAAATTAAATTAGCCCCATGAATCAAATTAGCTCAACCAAGCCCATTCAAACCAAAATTGATCACTTTGCTAAATACCCATTATCATCTACAACATATAACTTTATTTAGTTCATCAAAATCCAAAAATTTCTTAGGAATCAAAGAATAAAAACAGTTTGCTAATACCCATTATCTCCAGCAACATATAATTTAATTTAATTTAATTCATCAAAATCCAAAAATTTCCTAGGAATCAAAACATAAACCCAAATTTCTAAACCCAATTCAATCCAAAACCATGTTACTTACTCCTCCATTTGGTAAATATAATAAATAAATAAATAAATAAATAACATAATTAATTAATGTAAAGTAATCTCAATGAAAACCCAGTTGAAACTAAAGTTTATCTTTTTTTTTTTTTTATTATTGAGGGAAGAAAGTAAAAGAATTTTGAGTTAAAAAAAAAAAAATAAATAAGCGGAAAGCGAGACTTACAGCTTTGGAGGAATTGCGACGAGCTCGGTGAATAAATGCGGTGGAATGGAAAAAGTGGGAGTTTGTATAATTGAAAGTGGAAAGAGGGGTTTAAGGGCTGATTTAATTGAGGAATTCATGTTTCTTCCTTCAAATTAGTTTTACAGAAGCTAAGAAAATGAGAAGCTTGGTTGTCGGAGGTGGAGTTGCGGTGGCCGGAGATCTAGAATTGTGATGATCATGACGCTAGGTCGTCCTAGCTTTCTAAAGATTTTGTATTTATTTCACAAGCTGCAACACTGGTGTTCTAACTTCTACTTGGCACTTGGTACAAGGCTTGGGTCCCGTTATTCTCTGAAATTTTAAATTTTTACATTTTGAAATTTGAATATTATAACCTAAAAACGATAAATTAGGCGTTCAAACTTCTTCTCTTAAATTTAAAATTTTATTTATTTAAATATAAATTTTTGAAATTTTAATTTTTAAAGCTAAAAATGTAAATATAGTTTTTTTTTTTTCTTCATTTTGGGGGTCTTAGACCACTCCAAGGGTGAAACTCAAATTAGAGTATGGAAATATAAAGTGAGTTGTTTTTAACACTCAATGGTAATACTCAACTTAATAGGGTTTTTCCTTTATGAGGGTTTTTCCTTTATGAGGGTTTTTCCTAGCCTCCATTGCTAAGGTTTTTTTAATTTTTTTTGAAGGTTTTCCTTCTCTCTTCTCTATTTTCTCTCCATCTCTACCATATTTTTTCCTCTTGGTCTCATACTCTCAGTTGTGAATCTTTGTAGGGGCTTCCACTGGTGTTCTTACTAGTGGTAAGCCCGAAAAAACCTTTCAATTGCTTTCAATAAATAGATCTCATCCTTGAGATGATGTTTTTTCTCTTGAATTTATTTTCTTTTTATGTTTGTATGGCGAGAATTCAAGATCTAGGGTTTCATAATCTCTACAAGAATCCAGAGGACCGCATGAGTATTTTCACTCAAACGGCTACGCATCAGTGGATTTCAAGCCGAATCAATGAGAACACACAGATTGTATTACTTCAGATGAAGTATTTTATTAAGGCAATCGTTGATCAAATCTACGATGTATTTAGTTTTAGGTGTTATGTACTTGTGTTGAAATTCTTGATTTCTTAGAAATTATATGTAAGTGTCATTTGGCTATATTTTATTAATGAAATCCTTTTTCTTCGTGTAAAAAAAAATGGTAATACTCAACTTACAAGGATTTCAGTCTCTAGTAAAGCGAGTCTTCTATGACTCTAATAACCCAACACTTTTAGCAGCTCTAGGTTGATTTTTTATTTTTTTTTTTATGTTTTTTATGTCGTTGGTATGCCAACGAACTCCTTATTAGTACAGAGTATTATTTTTGATACCGACAAACTCTTTATTTAGCATTCCTTCTTATACCTACAAACTCTGATACTAGTTAAGATATCATATATTAATACTAACTAAGCCTAACTTGCCCTCAAAAAAATATACTAAACCTAACTTGTTTTTTAGGTTAATAACTTTTAACGATATTAGCGTATTACTACTTTACTAATCATATATCAAGATAAATTATCATTTAAATTCAATAGCCAACCATGTTTCGCAATATTAAATGCTTAACTAGAGAGTTTTGGCCAATGCATGAACTTAGTTGACACTGGAACCACTAGCGTTCTGAGCTTCCGACTTTACCAAGGTAGCTAACCCCAACCCTGTCTTCCTTAGATTAGGCACAACATAGATCTAATTCGTTTCCAACCTTAGACCATAATCTCTAATCAAACAATCTCTATTATTTATGATAAAGCTTTTAAACAGAAAGATAACTTATTTGAAATATGACTTTCAAGAGGCCATGATAACGTTTCCCCCAGAAAGAAATTTTTATTTAATTTGAAATTATTACGACACTTAAACTAAAAGCTTAAAAGTACATGACAAGAACTAGAGTTTTTCTCTACTTTTAGAGAGATGGAGAACCAATTTTTTTCTTTAGGTGGTGATTTTCTCTATAGGATCGGATTCTCTATGATTTCAGAAAAACTCTATAAGACTCTCTTCAAGCTTGTCTTCAAATCTTGTCTAAGTTCCTTTATATAGGGAAACCAAAGTTGCATAGGATTCTCATCCTAACTCAGCAAATGGATCTCGTCCATTCCTTTTACAAAGAAACTTTTAAAAATACTAACACTCCTTTAAAACATGGTTACAGTAAAAGTAGTATGCATGATTGTTGTTGTGGAGCTCAATCTTCCACCAATTCATCCATCATTATCTCTTGTAGGTCACCTTCACTATCTTTGCTGCCCTCATAGTGAATATACATGGGGTTATCTTGTTCTATGCACAATTATTAGACACATTTGGAAGCATATGACTCATCCCATGTAATACCCCGTATTTTTGAAATGTATTTTCTAAATTAATTAATATTTTCTAAAAAAGGTATATTAGTAATTTATTTTACTATTTGAATTTTGGAGCCAAAAATGATATTTGAATTTTGGCGCCAAAATTATTTTAAAACCTAATTATTATTTTTGGATTTATTTTATTTTTAAAAACCAAATTATTTATATGTATTATGGATATTTTTTTAATTAAGCAAAATTATATTTTATTATTTCATTGAGAGGTCCGAAAATTCCTATTGATTGGCTATGATTTTTGAATTTTTCTAGTGTGGAAAATTTGATTTTCTTAGCTAAATTATTTAGTGAGTAATTGGTATTCTCTTAATTAATTATTTTATACAAAATATATTATTTACACAATTATTTTTAATCCCTTAAATCTAGCAAAATATTCCCTAAATACTACGTAGGGTGTCCGAAATTTTGAGCTATGGAAGATCAAAAATTTTGGCCACCAAGGTTGGATTTTGGGTGAATTATTTTGGTAAATTGTAATTGTAATTATCTCCTTTAAATCTATTATTTTCCTTAATTTTTATTTCCCACCTTCTAAATATTTGATCATCTTCTTTCCCTACCTTATTTCATCCTTGATTATTCCCCAAGTAAACCCCTTTTGCCATATTATTTTTCATGACGACATACTTTCCTTAATTTTATTATTCTTAGTCACCTTAATATTAAAACTTTCCATTGTTCTTTAATACTCTTCCTCAAGTAATTCCTTAATTCTTTTTCCCATAATTCTTCCTACATTCTCCTACCATAATTCATGCATGAGCTAGCCTATAAATACCCATTGATTCATGGCTAAACACTCACACCAAATTCTCTAATTCTCTCTTAATTTCTCTTCTCTTTTTCTCTTGTTCTTGCGCCAATCACCACCACCAAACACCACAACCACCACCAATCACCACCCTCGGCCACCTGCCGGCAGCCGCCGGCAGCCGCAGTTGTCGCCTCCCTTTTTGCCACCTTTCTTCCTCTTTTTCCTTGGTTTTCTACCTCTTCTTCTTCTCTTCTCTTATTTAATTAATTATTATTATTATTATGGGGGATTTATAAAAAAAAAATATTATGAGTAGTTTTAGTTAAATAAAATCAGATTTTTCTTCATGTTTATGAAAAATAAATTGTAAGGTTCATGTACATGTAGTTGGGGGTTTTTAATTTAATGGTTGTGATTATTTGTTAGCCTTATATTAATTAAGGTTATATTTATTTGTAGGGTGTGTTCGATCAATGTTCTTGAAATTTTCTTTTTATGTTGCTAGCAAGGATCAAAGGTACGTTTAGGTGGCTAGATACCTTTGAAATTGATTGGATTGAATAAGCATATTTTTTTTTTAAAAAAAATGGTTTTGATAAATAAATTGGAGGATTGATTTTATATCATGTTTTGAATGGTTTGAAATTATTATGTTTAAGGGAGTTTGATTTTCTTTTAAACGTATGTTGGATTGTTTTGAAAGAGTTTTTTTTTTTTTTTTAAGGGTTTGGTTTTGAGAGCAAATAAAAGGAGTTTTGAATTATTTTGGAATTTTGAAATTGGAAAAGGATTTATTAAATTTTTATTATTAAAGCTTTACAAGCATGTTGACAGTAATCCCACTATGCAGATTTGGTAGATAAGACTTTGGACTTTGTATGATCGAGTCTTTCCTCAAAAATAGCCTTGAAATAGTAGCAGATGAGCTTGGGGGGGGGGTGCACACTTGGGTGAGGAATTGGTTTTCAAAAGAGGAATTGGTTTTATAAATCATTTTTATTGAATTATTGAGTTATTGGATTAACATTGGAATTGGTTTTTAAAAGCATGTTTGCAAATAAATTGAATTTACTTATCTTGTACTTATCGTACTTAGCATATTTTGTTAATCCGTATTTCCTATTTGTTTTGGTTCGCCCTATTTACCTTAATGGTAAGCAGTGTTGACTATTTTTAGGCGGAGTCAATATTTGAGCATATGGGAGTCCCGGGATGTTCTTCACCTAGATTAGGAAGGTTGGTCTTTGTTTATTTATAAGCACTCATGAACAAGCCTGAGCACGGATTGGATATCCATAGTTTCAGATCAGATATCCATATCCGATCCGAAAATGTCGGATATTCGAAATTTTTGAATCGGATAAGTCGAATATCCTATATCCGAAATTATTAGTACCATACCTTAACTCAAAAATCATAATGCCTTTAAAAGAAAATTTGTCAGAATTATTGCAATGATCAAATTCAGACACTCAAATTTCCACACAATTTATGCGAAATTATAAGCAATATCAGTTCATAAAAACATGAGTGAAAAGGAAACAAAAAAGCTAAACAAGTCGTTGACAACAAGAAGATATGTCTCAAGGAAATTCCAAAAAACAGGATGGAGATGAACTCGGAGTTCAATTATGAGAGCAACCTCTTCACTCCAACGCTCTGATGTATTGAACCTCGTTACGAACGGCTCCTCGATGCGGTGGAAGAGTAAAAGTGTTTTTTCATTGGTCCCCTCCGGTCAAGATAGAAAGCTCGGAAATTGCCGATAATGGTAGCCTATAGAGCAGAAGCGAAGAGGGAGATCTGAGATGAGAGAGGAGGGAGGTCTGAGATGAGATGAGAGAGGAGAGAGGTCTGAGATGAGAGAGGAGGGAGGAGAAAGATTTGAGATGAGAGAGGTCTGAGATGAGAGAGGAGGGAGGAGGGAGATCTGAGATGAGAAAGGAGGGAGGAGGGAGAAAATAGAGGAGAAAGAGAAAGAGGCGGATTAGGGACTTAGGTCTTAGGGTTATCCGGAATTTTTTTAAATGGTAAAAAAAAAGTGTTTTTTTTTCGGATTTCGAATCGGATACCCGATCCGATATCCGATTTTTTTCGGATATTCGGATATTCGAAATCGAAATTTTTGATATCCGATATCCGATCTGATATCCGAAATTTTCGGATCGAATATCCGATCTGAAAATGTTTTCAGATCGGTTATCCTAAATTTTCGGATCGGATGCGGATCGGAATTTCGAATTATCAGATAGTTTTGCTCGGCCCTACTCATGACAATGGTTTCTATTTATAGCTATTATTAATAAAGAAAGAGTTTGAGTTTCCGCTGCGAAATATTGGTTTTGGTAGCCTTGCGTAATCACGCGGCGGTAATACGCCTAAGTCTATCTCTACAATATAATTATATGTATTATACTAGTATTTCTGTAGAGGGATATTTGGGGGTGTTACATCCCATGTGACAAAAATATCCAATAAATGCTCTTTCGTTCTAAGGATAGGTATCTTTCAGCTTCAACCTCTTCCAGATAATCATACACTAGGATTCACCATGTAATACTCCTTCTAAATGATTTTTTAAACCATTCTGACGCTACTATAGTAGTATTTCAACATGTATTATGATTGGGGGCTTTTCTTTTATTGCTATATTATGAACTAATTGAGATATTGAGCAATATAGAAAAATACATACACTCTTGCTTCAGTAGGGTCTCTTACTCGTCGTTGCTAGACACAGATTGAATCTTTGAATTTGCAATGAACATCTTCAAACATATATGATTAAGAAATGTGGAGAACTAACTTTTCTTTCAACTATTTCGATATGTA